GGTACAGCAGTTTTATTTATTCTTCTACCTGGAGTTAGTTTACTAGCTGTTGTTAGTCAAGCTGTTTACCTAAGTCTTGGTTTGCTCACTGGCCCAAAGAAAGCTAAGGTGACATGTTAACTGCTAGTCCCAGTAAACTGCAATGGAGGAGGCACACTTTTCTTCACTCCTCAGGATGTTTCTATCATTGTTGTTGGCCCAGCCTTCCTTCTAGGACTTGTCTTTCCCTCTGGTCACTGCTGACATGTCCCCAGGCAGAACCCTGCCTAGATATCCCCAAAACACCTGCGTACCGTACCTACCAGCCAACACTAACGCCAGCTGTTCCAGCATCTGCATCTCCCACCAGTCACTTGATGCATTTTGCGATTAGTCGCTCATATTCCTTTATTCAATCAGCATTTTAACTAGCAGCAAACATAACCCTGAACTGTTGTTAATTAAGCCCTGCAAAGGAAATCACATCAGTGACTTAAATCACAGTTACTCAGTTTATATCTGTGTGGGTACACTACGTCCGTGCATAGGCAGAGGGTATTCGTTCTGCGGTCTGTTGCCCGTGAAGCGCTGCGGTTCCTTAATTGCCTCACACACACAGGCAGTGTGCACTCACACTCCAAATGCTACCAGCATCATTAGTTCCTTTCACACTTCATTTCTCCATGCCAGGCATTCAGAGATTTCACAATCTGCATATCCTCCTTTTAAGACATCACAGATCTCTTCTGCAGACCTTTGAGGGACTAATGAGCAAGATGTCTCTAGTTTATTAATTAGCTGCTTATCAGCCATACTGCACAGCTCCCTACTAGTTCAGCTGCTCAGCTACAGTAATTAGACAACCCACTTTTCAGTCTTTTATAGCATTGCCTTAGACAGAGAGTTTCACTGTTCCTGAGACCATGGTACTTTCTGGCAATTTTAGACATCTCCTGAATGACTAATAGAGAAATCCCGCTTTCTGTATTATTCACTGCAGCATTACAGCTCCCCATTCTAGGTTTTGTCTCATGCACTCCATCGACAATATGTGCCATCACCAGTACCCTAGCATCCAGATGTTATCTGAAAGCTTCTTTATTTGCATCATTCAGACAAACGGTCAAAAAGCATGTATTCACACTCTCTCTGATTCAGAGTGCAAGTAAAGTGGGTAGTGTTACTTTTCATGCTGCAGTCCTTCTCAGACAGGAACAAAATCAAGCCAACAAACATATGCTGTCTCTGCTTCATACAACGAAAGGCTTGCTTGTATGTCTGAACTCCTGATTTTTATTAGCTAGCAATTGCTTGTGTACTCACAGATTCCATTAGTTAAGTATCTGACACGCAGAAACTTAGAGAATACGAAAAATGGCCTTTTTTTTCAGCTTGCCAGTCAAACATAATTAATATTTTGCAGTGAGTACAACTAGAAGGGAAAAAAAAATCCCTTAAATCAGGCTTAGTTAGATGCTATACTTTCTAAAATTTCCTTGAAATACCAAACAGTGTCCATGTCAAATGGCTCTCCATAGTGATTCTACTGCTTGCTATCTCATCTATCCATTTATACGGCTGAGCTATTCACTTAGGCCAAGCTGTGGCTCCTTTCATCTCTACACAACCAAGCGCACAGGCTTAAAAGGACATGCTGTTTCTAAGCAGAGCCAACACAACTTCTTCACCTTGACATTTGAAAGCAGTAAAACAAAATGGTTTTCCTTTCCCAAAAGGCAATGAGAAGCAACACCAGTGTCTGACAGACTGTTATATGCTGTATGTACTGTGCATACACTGGTAAGTCTACCCCAGGGTGTGCCTGCAGTATACACATGTATAGACACAGCTGACCAGATCTTGAGACCCTTGCTGCCGGTCTCCAAACATGCCCCCAAGGCTGTAGGTCAGGAGGGGCCTGGGATGTGCACTCACAGGGGCCCTTGGTCCTTGGTCTCATCTGGATGACTGAGGTACCCAGGACTAAGGTCCACCACAGAGAACGCTTACCCCTGTAGACAGCCACAGTCTGTATCAGTCGCTGCCACTGTATCCCAGATAAGAAGTGGGCTAATCCTGTAAGACAGGGTGACTTCTTTTTTTCTGAAACAAATGCTAACAGTAAGGCACTGTAGAAGCATATGATAATTATATTATATCCTTTCCAGCAGAGAAGAACAAAAAAATCTACTCATCTATCACTGTAAGAGAACTTGAACTGTTTGTTCCAAGGGGAGCTGAAGCACTTCTTCATCATCATCTTGGTTTTCTGACAAGCAAGATGCAGATTTGCCCTTCACGTTACCTCAGGCACAGGCACAGGCATGCGAACAGCATGTCTGGTAGCTGGTCCAGACTTACGATCTTACCAGCAGCCAACCCTCAGATCTCACAGCCTCCCCACTCACTGGCTTTGACCACCTGGTCCATCAAGTAGCCAGATCTCAGATGCTTTGGTGTCTCCAGTATCTTAGATTTACAGCCACTCCATCGCTTGGCTCCCACACCTCTTACCCTATTTGTCAGCTAGCCCGTCTCGATATTTGCTAGTGGCTACACACCGACATACGTACCCACATAATATGCACTCCAGTCTCTCCAGTTGCTGGCACCCTGAGCCCACAGATCCTGTCACCTGTGGTCCAACTCCAGCTGCCAGCAGGTAGACCTCCATGCATCCACTGGCACACAGAGAAAGCCCTGCACCCAGGAAAAATTCGGAACAGAGTTCAATGAGAAGACAAGACAGACAGCACTGATCAGGTGCAGGGCATGGCTAGTTGTGACCAGCCTCTGTTTACATGTAACCAGCCTCTTTTATCCCCTTATCCCTCTCTTTTCCCACTTGTTTTCTTCCCCAAACCACCTTGATACCCCTTTCCTCACCTTTGGTTTTTTCGCTAAACATTCCGTAATAAGCCTTTGTACAATCCCCACACAATCCTAAGATGCTCTTCCCTGCATCTCATAAGGAGTCCCATACCTCCAGGCTGTATCCACCCTCAGTCTGAAAGGCGCTCCAGTCTCTCTAGATGACTCATGGTGATGGGTCTCACTCCCGGCCCATGGGGCTGACGCCCGCCTGGGATGCCCCGGGAGGGGCTGGATTGGAGGTTCTTTCCTCTGATGGGGTTGCTGGCGTTCCCCCAGCTGCCACTGTGCCTCTGAGCTCCACGGTGTGTGCTGAGGTGGGCCTTTAATCAGCTAACCCAACAGAGAGCATGTATCAGCTTTAGGTATCTCATGATGCAGCTGCTAGTACTTCAGTTCCAGTATTTTACTCCTGTAGTTTTCAAAATACATTTATGCTTAATGCACACGTAAATGTTTTCTTTAAAAAATGGTTTATAGAGCTTATGGAGTATTTCAGATTGTTGAAGAACTTTTAAGATCTGAACATGAGTTTTATCTTGGGCTCTGTGCAGTTTATGCATTTGATTAGACAACTGTGAACGTGAAGTTTGGATTCTTTTCATCAGGAGGATAAGAGGGGAAATGAAGAGGGAGCATTAGCTCTCCACAGAAAGAGCTTCCACAATTCAGTGAGGTACGGTTTTACAGGCATTTAAGTCAGAAATAGTGCCAGAGCACGCTAAATATCTGTTCAAAGTATTTTATATGAATTAAACGGTTCCACAAGAAAGCAGTGACTTCACTTGTCTTCACTTCTTAGTTTGGTAGAGTGATGGACATCAGTGAGATTATTCTCCTTTGTTGTTTTCTGGGGTTGTTTTTGAGTGGCCTGGTTTGGCTGGGACAGAATCCCAGCCCAGCCATGCCAGGCAGGCCGTCAGCAGTTTTGAGTCAGCCAGGGCAGCTGACCTGAGTGAGCTACAGTGGTAGCCCACACCATAATGTCATGGTCGTTATAAAGAGGGAAGGTTTGCTGAAGAAGGGAGCTCTTGGGGGGGTCCTCCTGGGGTTCTGTCTGCTCCTCCTCTGGCTTCTTCCTTCTCCCATGTCAACTGTGACTGCTGCGCATTTGTTTGTCTGAGTATAACTTTGTATGCCTTTGCTGGTATCGGTGCTGTTTCATTACATCTGTTTTCGCTTCAACTCACAAGTCTCCTTTCCTTTTCCTGATTCCCTTCCCTGGCTGGTGAGGGCGCAGTGGGTGATAGAGCCGCTGTTACAGTCTAGGCTCAGATACAGGCTAAATGTAGGCATTGATCATGGGGAAAGAAGGCTGCACAGCTTGCTTTCTCAAAAATTCCCTTAAACAAATGCCTATGGAGAGTATCCTTCACCATATTATACTTTCTATCATCTACAGTAAAGACCAGCTCCTTTATATTCCTCAGCTCACACTCAAGATGCTGTACAGGGTTTTCAGATTAACCAGTAACAAATGAGACGGACACAAAGCTTTGGTGAATATGAAGTGAATGCTGTGAGAAGTCTTATTACACAGTGAAGACAAATCAGATGTTTAGGCAGGTGGAATCTCAGATGCAATCATGGTATTGAGGCTGGCCTAAAGCCAGCTTTAAGCACATGTGAATAGATAAACTTTAGTCCTCCCACAGGAAAACTACTTTGCAGGCCTGCTAGCACACACTTTTTGCCCCAAAGCTGTGTCTCAAGCCAGGTGAATTTTCAGATCATGTAACCACTCACTGGCAAGTACTCTGCATAGACATACACACTGTTACATAGAATAACTACCCTGTAAATCTCAGAACTCAAGCTGCAGGTGTTCAAAGCCTGTGTGTCTTATTCCACATCCAAGTATTCATGGGCAGAGCCAACAGTCCTCACTGTCCAAGTGCTGATGCATAGCTAAGTGACAGATTTTCTGATCAGATTTTTTTCCTTCTCAAGAAGGACTCGGTAGGAAGCTCCTCAAGTGCTACATGTTCCAACCTCCGCCCTAGCATTTGCAAACCAAAAATTAATGCATCATTTCTAAGCATGGCTCATCATTTCATTATTGAATATAGTGGTGGTGATTTTTCTCTGCATCATTCTAATCACACTCATGTAATTCAGTGAACAGAGATGAATTTATTTCTCAGCACCACCTATTTGTAGTTCTGTTTACCCACGGCTGTGAATCTCACACTTCTAATACTAGGTCTCTTAGATTCCTTGTCACCGTTCTCTGCTTCTTCTGGGGTGTCCATCTGTTCAAATGCTTTTCTGAATGGCAGAATAAAATCTGCTTGTCCAGGGGACAGGTTAGGAAATGTGGCATCAACATACTTTTGAAAAGTTTGTCTTGTTGCCTGTATTTCAGTTTCCAGGCTGTCCTTCCAATCTGTCATCTTTTTCAGTTTTTGTCCTGTTCTTCCGCTGCCTTCAGCGCAACCATTGCTTTCTCCAGCTCATCAAGATGTAGGGTCTTGGCTTCTTTGAGCTATTTTTCAGTCACAATCTGATTCTCTTTTCTTGCAATACTCAGGGCAATATTAAATCTCATGACATTTTCCTTTGTTTAGTTGCTCTACACTCTTATGATACACCTCCTCAGCTGACATACTTTCTTCTTTGAGTTGCTTGAAGTGCTTTCTATTTAAAAAAGAAAATGAAGAAAAGATTTGTACAGAACACCTGTTATTAAAGATTATTTAAAAAACAATTTAAGTCTATTCAGGTGGTTGTAAAACCTCTCTTACTCAACTATAAATATATGAATTCAGAACTTGATGTAAGACCTCTGAAACAAAATAAGGTAAAAAAGGCCACTGATGACACAGAGAAAGGCAGCTGCAGAAGATTCTATTTCTGCATGTGTTGCATCTAGCCATCATTTAATGATGCGTGCTTCCAAATAAACAAATATAAAGGATTACCCTTTCACTCTTCATTCAGGTCTCTCTTTGAGCTAGCTCTTAAGTACACGCTGATTTTTCAAATAGACTTTGAACAATTCTGCCCCCAAGTAAAAATGCTGTCTTGAAGAGAAATCTAAGAACAGATTTCGAGACTACAGACTCATCTGTAATTTTGTTTAAGTGGTACTGAGAGTATCTTTGTGCTAGCACATCAGTAATAGAACATATAATTTGTATTATGTGGTCAAAACATTATGGGTGCTATTCACCAGAGCTGGCTCAGGGACATATAAAGAATGGTGCATCAGGCATCTATTAAGGTTACCAAGCCAGATACTTCAATGTAGAGAGAACAGCATCACTTTGCTGGAGGTATTTTTGCAGAACTCTGCTAACATGAGCAGTTAAAGAGACCAGCTAAGTTTATGCAGAATGCGATTTATCTTTGTCAGAAAGGGCATGTTTTAATAGTGAAAATGAAGGCATTAAATAATGGGTAAAAACTTCAGCGTGACTCTGTTCAGAGGAAAAAAAAAAAAAAAAACATCTTGCAAAGGGGTTCACCTGAACTTTCATTGTGAGAGTATAGTGCTATTTTGTTGTTTGCACTGTCAAAAAAATTAAATGTATTCTACTCTTAAGGAAAAGGGCTGTGTCATTATTTTGACATCAAAGCTGTTTAATTCACAACACTTAATCTACACTGGTAGAATCTCCTGTGACTGGCAGATCTGCATATGAACACATCTTTTTCAGTTTTGCATAGATGTCATGAATGGCACAATAGGCCCCTAAGATCTTTATTTCTGATGCCTCTAAATCAGCCATAAAAAGCAAAACTTTTTGATTGGCTTTGGTTGGCTTTGTGGTACTTTCTTCGTGATACCTGCTTTTAGGAACAAAATGTGTTTTATTTCTACATGGTGTGTCAGTGAGAGCGATCCTGCAACCCTTACTGGTCACTTGACATTTCCAAATGTGTTTTTTTTCTAAACGGTCTAGTGATCTTTTCTTAGAAGACCCGCATCTGACCAACACTGATGCAATTATGGTCATTTTCTTTAGCAGAGCATGTTTGCTAGCCAAGTCAGGGGAAATGCTAAGAGCACCTGTGCTGCCTGGCTGCTTCCTTCAGGGCCGCCTCCCTCTCCTGTTTCCTGGCTTCAGCCACTGCTTGCATCTTCTCCCGGGCACACTCCATGAGGGCGCGCTGAAGTCTGTGAGCCATGCGCTGCTCTGCAGCTTCAGTGTCTCTCTTCCGCACATCCTCCATGTACTTCTGCATCTCTGCCTTCGCCTTCCTCACCTCTTCCTTCAGCAAAGTTAAAAGTAGATGTAAGTACTGACAACGACTTATTGTTCAGTTGTCTTTAAACAATCCCCAGGAAATCCCAGCAGAACAGTCTTCAGGAAAATATTACAGGGCAATTACAGTGATTTATTGTAGCATTATTCCACGTAATCTATGTTTTCTACATAAGGCAAAAAAAGGTCCCTGATATATTTTCTTCACAAGCTCATACAGCCAGTGGCACGGTTTTAGAGTGAGACGGAGAAGAAGCCTGGTCCTTGGTATGCTTGTCAGCAAGGTATTGCTTGGGTTGACACATAAAGGTATGACAACACTAATCTTAGGTGGTCTGGATGGACATACATACATACATCTGGAATCTCTGACAACTCAATATATACCAACATACCTCTGTTGCCATTACAGACCATGCTAAACCTGACCATCCAGGAAAGCAATCCCACCCACCTAACTCACTGCCCAGTGATCTACACTGCTTCGCCACCATTCACAGTTCTTTCCAAGATCCCTGACAAGTGCATCCTCTGTGGAAGTGGCAAGACACTATTGGGAAAGCTCTGGCTGCTTAGATCTTGCTGGGTTTTCTAATACAGGATGAGCAGAGTTACATGAGGTCTGCCATGAATCTCTTGCACACCCATGTACAAGCTCTGTATTCTGTGTATTTTTGTGGACACTGGTTGTCTACTTCTGGCAAGTGGAATGACAAATAATAGGGCCTGCCTACAAGAAGCCTAACTAAAACCCTTTGACCATTAGTGGTGGTGGAACAGCCACACCAGCACTGCTGCGAAAAGCCATTCCTGAGGCTATCAACTGAAAGCAGTTGTCTTTCACCTATCCTACATATAAAAACCCACTTCAGTCACTCATTCAGTGACATGTTTTGTTGGCTGCCACTACCTGTTTACTTAGGCAGATGCTCAGTAAATTTTGGGCCACCACCTCTCCAAGCTAGTTGCTAGTGAGCAGTTAGCTCACTGTTAACACACCTCTTAAAATGCACTGCAAGAAACACAAACCACCAAATCTAAAAGATCTTGTGATTACTTTAGTTATGTCTGTCTCTTTCGTTTCAGCTGCAGAATTTTGTACCTGTTCCCTAGTCCTTAGTCACTGGAGCCAATGTTATCAGGACAAATAGTACATGTTCAAATCCTGAGCACTCAGGTCTACAAAGATATATCGTAGGCTTATGGCAAGTAATTGAACAGTTAAACACGAGGAACTGAGCTTCTGCCAACTATTGTCAGCAGATGCTACGACAGCAAAAGACAGAGCTCCCTTGGAAAACAGCTCCATAAAATGGAATGAACTCAGCCGGAACCTTAAGACCACTGTAAACCTCCCTGCTTTTCCTCTTGAGATGCCAAGCACATGGCTTTGCCTGCCTGCAGTATAAACAGATAGCTATTTAGAAACTTGTTTAAAATAAAATTCCAAAGCAAAACCCTTCAGCAATTCTCTGTGTGCCCTTCATCCACCAGTGGGAGGCTGCATAATTAAGGATGACAGGTGGTAGATGGACGGCATAGCACCCAACTGAGGAGCGCTTGGATGCTCTACTGGTAGAAAGCCCTGTGAAGCAGTGCAGAAAGCAGGAAGGCTCAGATCCAGAAGGCAGTTGCCTTCCTTTCTTTTGGTATACCTCAGAGTCTTTTCTCAGGTACCCAAACAGACACATAAAGCACGTGCTAAGCATATCCAGAAATTCAGTTGGCGTGCTTTATTTAGGAATATACATAGGCTGGCAGTTTGCCTTCTCCACCACCCCACTTAGCGTCCAGGTTCA